TTATTGATTGAAATGGGATGTTCCGTTCATCGAGCTCTTACAGGGCGAATATATGTTTAGATATACTATATATATGCATCAGATAAACATGATCTGATAGTTTGTAAATATTAATCGTATATTTATACATAAGATAAACAACATATAAACAACACTAGATCGGGATAAAAACATAATTCACAATTTCGAATGACTGCAAAATTCAAATCCAATGTAGTTATACATAAGATAAACAACAAATGTGTACTTTGCATGACATTTACAAAGTTCAACCAACAACTTTGTTCACTCCAAAAAATAACACAGTACAAAGTGTGTATAACTAACGTATAATTTGTGTATATGTTTATTACACTTTTTCGAACGGACATCTAAAGTGAGGACAGGTCCTGGCTACTTCGAACGAACTTCTCGACTACGAACGGTCAGGTTGCCACGTCGAACGGCGGTCGACTCATGGACTGAGTCCTCGACGGTGATGGCGGATGGGGTACTGTAAGGAACTCGACTCGGCTGGGCCCGTGATGGCGGACTATTCGAGCACCTTGTTTTCTTTTTCTTTGATTTTATGTTCATCCACAAAATCATCGTCGTCGTTCGGCTCAACCTCGGCGGTCTTCGGAGAGATGAGAGATGAGAGAATATTTTATTTTATTATTATTTTTTTGTGAGAGATGCACTATGCACACTAAAACTGATACATGGAGAGAGAAGTGATTATTTCTTTTCTTCTTTTGAGTGCATAAGTTTGTATATTGCACGTTATCCGAAAATCATGCAGGAGATTTGTTGAGTGTATATCATTAATTAATTAAATATAACTAGTACAGTTGCCCGTGCAAATGCACGGTAGCTACGAAAAAAAAAATTACAAGAGCGTTTGCAATTTATACAAATGCATAACGATGAAATATATTGAACACTTCATTATATACAACATTCTTCGTCTTTGAGGTATTTTTATCATCACATATTTTAATATTTTCAATCATTTCCCATTTGTAATTCGTGAACATGAGACATA